TATAATTTATAATAATCCGACATGACATCCGTATGTTGAACAGCAAAAAAACGAAAGTTTATTAGTAAAAAACAACTAATATTGATTTTGATAGATATTTTTAATTGGGAGTATTTTATTTGAAAAGACGTTAAAAGTGATTGATTTATATTGCAGATCCTAAGTGGCGTCGTGGGATTATTGCATGGAGCAGATGCTTATTTGTCTTATGTGCATTACAAAACTGGAAGATGAATTATGAGATAATTATAGGAATATTAATTGTATATAATTTTGATTGATGAGACGCAATGAGACGTGGCAATTATGTAATTGTTTACACTGTTAGTAATAGTAACGTTAATTCTAGAGCATGAATCTCTTCGAAAAAGAATTGAATGTTAGATTGGGGGAATCGATTTTATGTATTAATAAATATATATATTGTAAAATATTAATTATGAGTTATAAATAATAGTTACTAATTAATAATATTATTTGACTTAATTAAAAATAGCATTATTACACTGCCATTAGTCAATATAATGTTAATAATATTAATAAGTTTTATATATATATATAGAGGCTTAGTTTAATTAGTTATAATAGATTAATAATTTGAAATTGCGCATATTACTTTGTCACTTCCATAAATTTTTTTAAATAAAGATATTTTAGTTAAATATGATAAGCCGAAATCAAATCAATTTTATGGATTATGAATTATGAAATCGTCATCTACTTGCAATATTGCTTATCAGGCGTATCTTACGTATACTTACTAAATCAATATTCCGTTGACATTTGGTACGTCATAGTGCTATCGCATTTATGTGCATGATATAAAAATGGATAGTATTTAATAAATTGATGATTCATCTTGAGACTTATTCAGTTTTATTACGTTAATGTATACGTGATATGAAATAAACATCGATAAGAAATATGATGAAGGTATTCAATTGGTCACTTTGACGTATTATTTCCAAATATTAACAAGCTGCATTTTTGAAAGAATCAAATCGGAAATTAATAACAGTTAAAATACATCAATCAACAAATAATATCTTAATTATATATGAGTAGCGTTTAATAAAAATATAAAAACATAAATAAGATTTTTTATAAAAATTATCGCGTATATATAGAAATTATTAATTCCATTAATTCCATTATTAATTAAAAAAATGTTTGTAATTTATACTTGCAAATATATATAACCAAATTTATTTTTATAATTTACAATTGCAAGAAATAGATAAAACTTGAAGATATTAATATTATTTTACCAAAATATTAATAAATTTAGAAGACGATTTCAATTAATGATTAGTTTTTTCTACATGAAAGCCATTTACATCTTTATTAGTTGTATCTCACATTCCTTTTTATTACAGACTATATATACGAAGAGTTTCAACTCGTACCAAGGTACACCTGGACCCGAGATGGTGAATGAGAATGACACGGATCTCGTGGTCCTCACGTATCTCTATTGACTTCTCTCTCTTCCTCCCCTCTCCTCCTCTCTCTCTCTCTCTCTCTCTCTCTCTCTCTCTCTTTCTCTCTGCCTCTTTCAAATCTTGTACACGCACACGTCCATTTCACTTCCTCAAATGTCCTCCCCCTTCTTTATATTCGTTGTGTTCTTCTTTTCCTTGCTTCGGCCGTCGTTCGGCCTTCCCTTCCGTCGCTTTCATTGGCGCCTCGCCGAGCATATCACTCGACTGCAGACGTATAACTCAGTTTACTTCAAAATCTTGATCTGGGTAACACGTTAGGGAATCGGAAGAACTCGAAACATATTTACTCGATTCCTGTTGATCTTTCTTACTCCATTAATTTGGATAACGTAAGACAAGAAGTAGAAGAAATTAGAGGCTGTTTTCTTTTATTGGCAAAGGAGAAGTGACAAAGGATGGACACACACATTAGAAATGGGAATGACAGTATTAATACTGCATCGACAGAAGGTAGTAAAAAATAATTAAAGAATATTTCGTATTACTGTTTAATGATGATTCTAATTATAAGTTATGAGAGTTTAAGCTGAGGAGTTTTTTGATATTATGTATTAAATAAGTGTAAATAAAAATGTAAATTCGTATAAGTATTGCTAATCACTACAAAATGTATTGTGTATGTGTTTGTTGCTAAATTAAATAAATATTTAATAAATAAATAATTAATTAAATAAAAAGTTTAATATTTACAGTATCGAACTAACCCAAATTCTACGGATTTATGAATGTATAACAATCATTACTGTTGCAAAAAATGAGAATGATAATATTAAATAATAATATTTGAAATCTCGAAGAAAACAATTAAGGATAAATCTAAATAAAGATGTAAACGGTTTTCATGTAGAAAAAACTAATCATTAATTGAAATCGTCTTCTAAATTTATTAATATTTTGGTAAAATAATATTAATATCTTCAAGTTTTATCTATTTCTTGCAATTGTAAATTATAAAAATAAATTTGGTTATATATATTTGCAAGTATAAATAATTACAAACATTTTTGGAATTAATAATGGAATTAATGGAATTAATAATTTCTATATATACGCGATAATTTTTTCATTCAAGCGATTTAGAGAAAACTTTCTATTCATATCGAAACGTTTAAAAATTAATGAATAGCCAAGATAAAGGATTTCTTCAATAATAAACAGTTATTTATAATAATGTTCAATTGTATGCGCGGATATATAAGTGTGCTTAGTTATTGTTGTACCATTATAAAGAGGACGAATGCCTGTTTTGCTTTGAAAATATTGGCATTCTCGTTAACTGCTTAATTATTGCGAACTAACGAAGTGCATACAACACATGCTTACGTAGATATTATTTAATATTCTTGAGACTTCCACGGGTGCTTTCTATATAAAGATTATACGTTTCGCGAGTTTCCTCCGTGTCCAGATCCATTCTTGGAATGATATTGATACTCTGATATTGATACGTATCAGACTGCTCCTCGCTCTGATGAAGTGGACTGCAAGGTTCACGAAACGTTGGCATTCCAAGAATGGATCTGGACACGGAGAAAATCCGCGAAATGCATAATTTTTATGTAGATGTTATTTATCAAATGTCAATCACGATCGCATAATTATAAAATTGTTTGTGTCTTATCAATTTTTCAATCGATTTTTTGTTTCTCATTATTTAATCGATCTTTTCAAATTTAATTGTCACAATAATAATTTCTAATATTCTATCCGATGCGATGATACCTGATAATATTATTACAAAATCTTAAGAAGATTAATATGCAAAGCGAGTGAAAATGCATGAATCAGTGAAAGTAAACATTTGTAATAACGTAAATAGATTTTCATTTTCATTGTTTTATAAATTTATGTAATAAACATTATCAAATTCAAAAACATGAAGAAAATATGTATTAGATGTGGATGCATTATGTATTTGTCAAGAACGATCAAAGATATGAGATCATGATATGACAATGAAAACTAACGATGCAAAAGAAGTGAAGGCTGAAAGAAAGAAAAATTAACGTAAGAACTTGAAAGTAACTCATATTAGACAAAGCAAGATAGCATTCAGCATTCACAAGATTTCTAATTAATCTTTACCGAGACCTTGAGAGACTAGTAACGCTTATAACAAATCAGATTGTCAATGAGTTGGATCGTAAATGCATTAGTGAGCTCGTCGTTGAGTTGTACATTATGGAATTGCATCACGTAAATTTCATGCCGATGTTGCGATCTGAACTGAGAAAGCTGACAAGTAATGGCCGCGAAAGTAATGACTTGAATAAAAACCGGTGACTCGATGAAATAAATTTCGTACAGATGCAGTTAAACGAGAAATCCTTCTTTAATAAAACGCCGCTGTACGTTATATGGAGAGACATAAGAGACAATTTTACGACACCTGTTCAACAATTTTGAAAATTGCTATTATTTCTTTATTTTTTAATAATTATGAATCCTTCGTATTAATATGTATTTATATACTTTTGTCTCGAAAAAATTATTTATAACATTACTTATAACATATTTATAACATTACTACTTATAACATTACTACTTATAACATACAAAAATTATTTATAATATACTTTTTAACATTTTTTGAAAAAAATTTACTTAAATTGATGTATTTTTAGTTTCTTAGTTGTTACGTAGCTTTTTTAAATACAATCGAACTATTGCTGTAAAAGCAAAATATATTTAGGTCAAATGCATCATAAACGACATTAAGCGAAATATAATGTCACAATAAAATGCAATCATGCAAAATTTTTTTAATATATGTCATAATTATAATTTAATTTATTAATTAAATTAATTAAATTTTTTTAATATTATAATTTTTTTAAATATAATTTTTATTCAAGTGCATTTTCAATAACAAATTCATCTGATCTCATATAATAAGAAAGTATAAGCGTTCAAAATTTTATGTTTCTCATCACTTTTGAATCGGACATTTTAATGTAACAAATCTTTCGTAATTTACGTAAAGCTTAACGAGAGGAATAATACAAATAAATCGTTAATTTTAATCTTAATTTTTTCTAATTATACTTTGACTATATTTTTCTGTATACTGTATCAAATTCGAGATTTATAATATCATCATTTTACTTTAATAATATTTTAAATGTATAATTTATTTGCACTGAAAAAAAATGTTTGATTAATTGGAATTTTGATTGAAAATAAACGAATCAGAATTTCCTAGTTAAATTTACAAGAATTTTAATTGAGATAATTGAATTCTGATTGATACAATTAGAATTTCGTCGATTTTCAACCAGAGATTTTTTTCAATACAATAATAATAAATAATAACATGAAAAATTAAAGCGTGAAATTTATCATAATTAGAGCAACATGATTTCAACGAACAAGCATGTAACGGAAACGCCTCTCGTCTAAGGTTGCTCGTCTCTGATTAATATGGCATACCAGTATATTGAAAGTACCAGCATATTAAGAGTACTTTTCTCTAGGAAGCAGAATAATTCTATTAATAACTCATGAAAAATTTATACGATAGTGAATAGAAAGATTAAAAATTGTAGACAAGCATGCTCAATCTATGTAAAACTAATTCACATAAAATTTCTTGAGAAGAATATTACTTTTACATATAACAGAACTACTAAGAAAAACTGTCTATTTCAATAGCAAATATTAACTTA